AGCCCTGATCAGTGCTAACAGCTGACCTGACTGGATACCTGGACTTTTTAGGGGGGAGGTAACAATGTTTAAAACAATAACAATAATATTTATATTTATAACAAGGTGCAATAATAATTAATGTGCAATAATAACAGAGTGCAATACACATACACTTATTCTTTTTTATACTAAGTTAATATACTGTGTTGTGTTGTTTGTTGCGTTGTGATGTGTCATATCGTGTCGTGTTGTGTTATATGTAGTGCCGACGTAGGACAGTTTTTCCAATTTCATTGTACTACTGTACTACTGTATGTATGACTGTGCAATGACAATAAAGAGTTATCTTATCTTAGACTTGTGCGTAACAAGCAAGAAAATAATGAAGAAAACAGATTTTAGACAGGAAACTGTTCTTGTAGTACAGAGAGAGAGAGAGAGAGAGAGAGAGCTGTGCAGGAAGTGTGATTTTTATATGGCCGAAACATCGTAATCAGCGAGCTGTCGGCTTTCAGCCCCGACTGTGTCCGTGTCGTTGGGTGAGAAAGGCCACATCTCATTGATTCTGATGTGTTGGCTGGTCCGCGCTTTGTGTTTAAGTCTTTGTGCAGAATCCATGCTCTCATTTACTGTTTTAGCTGTTTGGTGGTTGTTGAAATTTTGTGAGGTTTAACCTGAGATTCTGGTGTTTTGGACAAAATAAATTTATATTAAAAAATCGATTCAGGATTTTAATGAATCAATATCACGTTATCCAAGCTAGAATCGATTTTAATCGATGAATCGATTATCAAAACACAGCCCTATAATTTACCCATTTGAATCAGCTGTGTTGGATCAAGGACTCAACTAAAACCTGCAGGACACCGGCCCCGGAGGACTGGATTTGCCCACCCCTGATGTATTTGCTTGTGATGTTCAAACAGTCCAAGAAGTTGCTTCATTGTTGGTGAGTGAAAATTCTAGATTTGATTCTCTTATACTGTCTGTGGCTAAAACTAAGCTTAGATGTAAAGTTCATCCTGTCTAAACAATGACAGTTGGGCCCAGGTCCAGTAAAGACAGATTAGTGGATCTGATCCTGTGTTTGGAGTTTCATGAGGAAGGATTGATGCTGCAGCAGAGTAATGAGTTCAAACTCTCTGAACTAAGCTGCTTGAATATCTGTCTGAATTTAGTTGACTCTTGTGTTTTCAGACCTTGGACCATCTCAGATTTTTGGCTTTAAATAATGAAATAATGAAAGTTTGTGACACATCAAGAATCTTTACATGTGAATTCTTTTGAATTTTTATGTGAATTCTTACCAGGGATTAGCGAGTCACTGCGACAGTCGTACAGCATCCCGACACTGAAAGGCCGACCGAGCGCTGCCACCTCCATTGTACTACCTGATCTACCGTCCATCCTTCAGTCTAACCTGGAAAAACAAAAGGTTTGAGATTGTTTTTCTGGTTCTTCTTCTGTTCAGCTGTTTGTTTTTATACTCATTAATATAACTGACAACATCAGGAATAATTTAACCTGGTACCTCCTGGGTGAGACAGTGACAGTGTAGTAGGTTGTTAAATGCTGCATGTTCAGTTTTAAGAAAATAAACTGTTTTTGTGTATAACTGTCAATAATACCTCTTATATATTTACTAGGGGTGCAACGATATTCGTATCGATATTGAACCGTTCGATACAGTGCTTTCGGTTCGGTACGCATATGTATCGAACAATACAACATTTGTAATTTATTTTATCAATTTTCCTTCTGACGATGCTGTCTG